TCACTGTTAACCTTCTCCGATTCCATCACATTACGGACACAAATTTCATTAGATTTATTTTTTGCAGACTGAAATAGAAGGAGAGTGATGGATGGCTTTCAGCTTTTTATAAATACAAAATTTACAGGTTTGTTAGGCATTTGTCAGCACCCTTTACTCTAAACACTCATGAAAAACAAAAGGTAAAACACTTTTCAAACATCACCTTTTCAAACATCAAATGGTGATGGCCATTTTCAGGCCATCACCTGAAAATGGACTGATGGACTGACACCAGTGCAGACTTTCTTAAGCTGCAAGCCATACAAAAAGAGTATAATTTTATTTCCTGCAAGCTCTGATTTTAACTTTTACTAGACTTGCCAGAACTAGTTATAAACAATGACTTTTCTCTACTCACAGCTGAAGAGATAGTATGCATGATGATTTTTAACAAGCCATGGAAATGCCCCACTCTTTTACATTTATGAGTAATAAAATCCTGCAGATTGGAAATAATTTCAAATATCTGCAGGTTGTTTTAGATATTACATTGTCTTTTAAATGTCACATTAAGGTGTTTGTAGAAAGTGTAACATTCCATCTCCATAATTTCAGGAGTACTAGAACATCCTTCACCGCAAGTGATTTCCTTGATGTTCTCACAGAATAATGCATGATGAGTGAGTCTTTCAGAAGTTCAGCCATACTAAATCCTGTTAGATAACTTAAAAAAAAAACAAAAAAAAAACTTTACAAATACTATCACCTCCACTACCATTAAGATAAGAGTTTAGATTAAGAGCAACTGGTCATTTTCCATGTACTGCAAGAGCAGGTGGCAGAGAAGTGCCTCTGAAAAACACACATTCAATAAAAACTCCACCATCTCTCAATCTGTGTCAAGACTTGGAAAGAAAAAAAAAAACTGATGATCATAGATGCTCTCCTTCCAATGCGAGTTTAATTTTTTAAATTTGCAGCAAAAAATGGGCCAAAAATTGTGTCTTTAGCAAAGATGGAAACAGCTGGTCAGAATAAAAGGGAAGATGAATACTGAGCAATTATGGAAGAAAACTTGTTCAAAAAGCTCTAGACCAGGCCTGGGGATCACCTTAAAGTAGGTCAATGGCCCAATAGTTCAATTAAGAATCTGTTGCAATCTTAAAAATATATATTTACCGATTATCTCAATCCAATCTGACGGCAAAGTACCGTCATTGCTGGTGGAGACATACCTCAAAAAGACTTGCAGCTTTTCTACAAGTTTTTGCACACTTTCAGAGAACATCATTAAAATGTTGCATTTCCTTGTGTTGACCTATGAAATAAAACCCCAATAAAATGCATTAAATTTCTGCGGGTGTACAAGAAAAATGAGAAAAGGCCCTAAAAATACACTTTTGCAAGGCAAATCACATGTAAGAAGTTAAAAAATCCAAGGATTGTTTGATCTTTTGAGCACTCTGATCCACTGCCATTTCTTTCATTTTCGATAACACAGCGTCTGCATGCAGTTGTCATGGCGCCAGAGGAGGAAGTGTTTCCTGACCAAACTTTGATTCAACCAGTGCGTGGTCCAAATCAGCAAGTGAAAACAGCTTAAGACAATCTGGAGAGAAATAACACCTGTCACATAACAAATAAGACTGCAACATGGGTTAAGTAGCCTGGAACATGTGTAAGCGCTGACAGCTACCCCCTGCACAGATTGTCTTCCTGTCTTTGCAAGGCAGTGATGACACCAGCACACAAAACGCTTGTCGTCATCTATTAGAGCAGAAATCTGTCACTGGAGATTCACACAACGCTCACAAATTCACGCATCAAACTCAGACTCTATTGTTGCATGCGCACATTCAATTTGAGCCGGTACGCATATAAAGTAAACGTACACATTCAAAGATAAAACAAGCAAGGAGGGTAACATTATCTGCCATTAAGTGTGACTTTGAAATGAAAATACAGATTTTTGGCATCAATATTTCAGGGGGCCTGCGAATTGCCTCCAAGTCATGCGCTGAATTATTGAGAGAGCTGCTTGCGGTTTGAAGCATGTAGTGGGTGATTTTCACTGACAGGAGGGATACTTCCAGAGACGAGAGAGACAATAGACATGTTTTATGTCTGTCTGTCTGTCTTCAAGTGGAGGGGATTGCCCAACTAAGTGTATGTAAACCAAATAAACCATTTAAAAAAAAAAAAAAAAAAAAAAACATACTGTCCAAAAAGTTGGATTGGACACTGCTCAATATTCCACCCAACTAAAAAGATGCATTGATTGAAAAAGTGACAAATGTTTCTGAGAGTAAAGGGATCAAACAGCACTTGAGCAATGAGTTGTTTTTTTTTTTTTTTTTGATTTTTTGCTATTTTCAGCAACAAAATAATAAAAAAAAAGGATTATTGTATGTCCAAGGTCTCTGTTGAACTCGTAGTAATGATGTTTCTTCCAGAAAGTCTGGATGTATTATGCATCACAGAAACTTGGTTTCAGTGTAAAACGAGTGTAAAGCATTTGCTCATATTCACACATTTATAGCAAACCCTCACAGTTTAACCATAATTCTTCACATAGGGGTTTCCTCCGTCAGTTTTTGTCCAAAGTTGCCATCTAGTGTATAAACAATGAAAAGTCATGAACATAGATTTGGGAGGAAAAAAAAAAAAAACTACTACTAAAACTCTCTGAAATACATACATCATATAAAAGACTGAGAGGAAAATCTTATGAGAATATATTATCAATTGAAATTGAATGACTTGACTGGATATGGTTTTATATAGAATTAATAGATATCTTATTAGATAATCACAATATATTTCAGTTACATAAATAATACACAAACATAACATCTAACCACTGACAGGAATATTAATAAGGGAAATGAGATAAAACATTCACAATATGTTTGACTAATTAAAGATTACGAGTCTTTTAATATCTCTTTCCATCTGAAAGCTAGACTCAAGATACCCCATGTATAATTTAGATTCTAAATATCTCTCCAAACTGAGAGAAGCTAAGGAAAAAAAAATTTTGGCAAAATTCAAAAAGAGGAAGCCTTTTGAGTTCAGCAAGACTCGATGTTAGCCAACAGCCTTGGATGAAACGGGACAAGCGGACCTCCGGCTGAGTCAAACGCTGCTTCAGGTTCGTCAGCTCTCGGCCGTTGGGTTTAGCCAACGCGGTTTCTCCAAGTGGGCACAGATTTTGATTCCGTGTTACCCAGTCAGTGCATCATTTTCCGTCATCTCTCTCCTTTTTACCGACGCAGGACAGTTAAAGTCTCCGCCCACATGGTGATGTCATCAGATTACCTTGTGTTTGGACCATTTTCATTATCAACGCCACACTGAATCTGTTGTCCTCCTATCTAAACCGTTTTCTTAGCGTCGCTCAGATAGAAGGTTTCACAAAATTCATAAAACAAAATACTATATATTATGTATTTAAATATCAGGGTGAAGTGTATACAAAGCCTGAGAGCTAAACCAAGATGAACAAGTACATTTAGTTTTACCGAGTTATCGCCCAGAAGTAAAATTTTACTTCAAAGCACAATGTTTGACATTTATCTAAATGGACAGTTTATCGTAAAAATTCCAAGTCAAAAACTTTACTCTGACAATTTCAGGAGCAGTGTTTGGAATAAAAACTTAACTAAACTTAGTGTCATAATAAAGTCTTTTGGAGTGTTTGTTAAGGCTATGTTATGTAGATTTCTTAACACTATAACCTCCTAAAGGTTTTTTCTTAAACACTTCCTGTCTCTGAAAGCCTAACATTTTCCAGTTCGTATATATTTTTTTATTTTTATTTATTTATTTTCAAAAATAAACCTTACATCTGATTATGGTTTACCCGAGGAACAACACTGACAGAAGAAACTCAAAATATATGTAGATTTAGAAAAAAATGCTCGTTCACCGAATTGGCCGAGAACTGTACAGATCAGATCTGTTATTGGACAATTTCCCTAGTCATCGCACAATGCTGTCACTCAAGTCGTAACCACAGGCTCATTTTTCAAGCTTTACTTATTCAGTTAATTAGGCTGAATTTCCCTGAATTGTCAGCCAGAAAGCCCTCTGTGGCATACGTCAAAAGGAATCCAGTGGCAAGTTTAATAAATACCAGTTTCACTATGAGCTGAAAGCACATCTTCATTTTTAGTGGAATATGTCCAATGCTGTCCTAAATCGTTGTGGTTAAACTTTAACCAATTAAAACTCTGCCTGGAGGCCTTTTCTACAGACACATCGTTTTATCCTGGTCTTTCTGCTGTCTTGATGGTTTTCAGTGATTTGCGTCTTACATCATAAGAAACAGACATCTTGTGTACTTCTTTCAAGAAAATCTTCCTCCTCCCTTGATTCTATCTTAAGAAGGGAAGATTTCTTCATAATCCGCTGTGAACTTGAAGTTGTCAATTTATTATATATTAATAGACAGACTGCTTTACAAGTGTGTTTCTAAATATGACTGAATGACTGGTGTTATGCATTTTTACTTTAGCAGATTTTTTTTCTTATCTTCTTACATCTTGCTTTTTTTTTTTTTTTTTTTTTCGAACACCCAGCCTTACACTGGAACAAGACTGGACTGGCACAAGTGATTAAAAGCATAATTTGTAACAATTTACTATGAATGTTTTTATATCAGTGAAACTAAGTAGCTGTGACTGTATATTACATAAATATATTACAGTAGGTCCACAAACTTTTGATAGTTTTAATCTGCAAAACAAATCTTCAGGAATACATTTTTGTAGGATGCATTTTTCAGTAGTACATTCAGTACCTTGTGATTTCAACCAAGACAGAGAACGAACCCCTCGTCCTTTTTGGGAATCTTTAAAACATGATCTCAGTTAGAAAAGAAAAACAGACGCTTAAGGTGAAGGCATAATAAAACTGCTTCGTGGGTCATTTTGGTTTAAGACGGAGCTCTGGAATGCTTACAGAGTTTGTTGGCGTGTGAACGTTAGCTCCGGTCCTGGAGTAGTTCCTGCGCCGAGATTCTAGCAGGAGAAGCTAAAACAAGGGCGACGCAGCTTCAATCACGTCACACGGATTGTGTGAAGGGTGTTGGCAAAAAAAAAAAAAAAACACAGAAGCCCCTTGCCTTGACCGTGACCTCTCGACCTCCATTCCTCCCCACAAATGTCCAATGTTGAGTAGCTTCCTGCAGCTGCTGCTGCGGCTTGTTGGTGTTATGAGGCGCGGGTGGACCGTCCCTGCGGGCGGACTCTCAGGAACACGAAGCGTCAGCGGTCTAGGGAACGCTTCTGGATCGCCTCGGCCACCGCTGTGCGCAGGAGCGCGATGACAGAGCGAGGGTCGTCGCTGCCTATCACGGCGCTGCCTGACACGATCATGTTGGCTCCAGCCTGAGGCGAAGGTGAACAGGCCCAAATTACGAAAACTTCAAAACATTTTCTAAGCTTCTTAATACATTCATAATGTCTGCATTCTTTACCTCTGCACACTTGTGAATAGTGTCGGGGCCGACGCCTCCGTCTACTTCAATGTCTAAGGAGGGAAACTGACTCCGCAGCCAGCTCACCTGCGTGACACACACAGAAGTAAGGCACAGGTCAACTGATTGGATCAACTCCTCGGGAGTCCATCAAGTGCCACAGGAGCATGTTAATCAAATATTTGTTTAAATCAGGTGTGTGGCAGCGAGAGGAACACCTAAAATCATGCAAGACAGAGGGCCCAGTGGAGCAGGGTTAAAAATCAAACAGTTCTGAAGAGTGATGGGAGATTTTAAGCAGCTGTGTGGTTTAAGACAATCTAAACCGGTGCAATTAAAACTGAAGCACTTGCATTAAGTGATTCATTTTTAAAATGTTGATTGCAACAGATTTGCCAAAATTATACTACTTTAGTTTTAAGAGCCCTAATAGTTTATTTCAAAACTTTCAGTCATTTCTGCAACACCATCTGGTCAGTGAGTGCTGGGCATCTGAAGCATCTTCCACTGTTCATGTTTGCAAGTCATAGCAACTCCTGTTCACAGGAGATGATTTCATCTCCTAGCAATCACAATTTACACCACATCATAGCTTATATTCAGCTACAAATGTACAGCTCTGAATACGTGTTCACACTTTGTACTAAAATGCATATGCAGAGCTGTGGCAGTGGCTTCTTATTGATGTATACAAAAAGAAGTGCAACTGTTTTTAATCCAAATCATTTTCTAAAGTTAAGGTGATTCAACTTTGATTTCTGAGTACATATACTGAAGCTTAAACATAACCAAATCCCATCAGTATCAACTTCAATAACATACTGTTGCCTTGATCATCTAAGAAAAATGAATATTTCTTCAGCTGTCAGAGGTTTTTAGCATTCCAACTGTTCAGATTAAGTCTTTATTGATAAAATCTGACTAATCTCTACTTTTGTTTTTACAGTGATGATGGTAATCTGGTGATACAGGACCTGCACAGCAGGTTCTACTTATGTGCTTAAGTAATAATGTATCTTATATCATTAAAATATCCTTTTCCTCCAGGTCATTTCACGAATGCAAATTCATCAAACTTTTTTTTCTCAGCAAGTTCATCATTAACAGCAGAACTACCCAAGAGTCAATTTGACAACTCCAAAGGTTTTTAACTCCAAGTAACCATCTTAAATTGAATACTAGTTTAATACTTTATGACCTTTCCTAAAATTGCTCTCTTCATAATTTCTACAATTGTGAGATATTGGAGTCTGGACCCTGAAAACCTAAAAACGCAGAGGGGGGAAACCATAAAAAAAAATGCTACCCCTGAGTGGTCCCGCTGGCTGGTTGAAGGTTGCTATGGTAACCACACTGTAACGCATACGACCCAAGAAACCACAATAAATGTTTACTGAGTTGGTTTATGACTGAATAATATATAATTTGAATAATTGACACGTCCTGTAAACCAGCCTGACAGAGAAACGCAGAAGACTGTACATATATATATATATATATATATATATATATACACATACACACAGGCATGAACAAATTGCAGTAGGTTATTAACTACAGGCTACAATTTGACTAATGCAAAAATGAGGCAAAATTGAAAGAAATAACATGAAATAAGTTTTGGCACGACTCCAACACTACGCGCAGGATTCAGATTAGGGGAATTGGGCTGCTCTGCCAGGAGGAATTCAAAGCGAATGAAGTCATTAATCAGTAACTATTGGATAAAAAAACAAGACCAAGATAAATATGATGAGAAATATTCCGGTGGGGCAGCGAACAGATGAGTCCCCTCCTGCAACTTCCTGCACCTTTTATGACCCAAAAATAAATTCGTCTCTGAGCTCTGTGGATGATTCCACCCTGAATACGTCTTCAGCTCAACACAGAAAACTCCCAAGATGCGATAAGCAAATAAAAGAGACAAGACTGCGGAGCGAAACGACAGGAGAAATGAACATAAAAATCACAAAATGTAGAGCAGGGAGAGCTCCTCGCTGCATGCTGTGAGCAGTTGGAATATCCAACAGTATGTTGGGCAATACTGAATGTTTTGTGGAGGTCATTTTTGTACCTATGAGAAAAGTTTTGTCAAGGAAAAAATACATCTAGCCACCAAATTACAACTACTTAGTTTATTTATTGTAATTTTAGAGTTCTGGTCTAACCTGAATCAAATGAAGCGTTGCATGGAGGCTTCAGACATGGCATTATCACCAATTAATTTTCAAAAACATGCTGGACAGACAACAAAAAAACAACATTTTATACCTTCTAAAAAGTAATTTCAGTGAATGCTGTAAAATGCTAGCATTTTATGCATTTTTCTGCAATCTAAATTCTGAGCCTGAAGTAGTATTAACCTCATGACTCACTTTTTTTTTGTTGATGAACTTTTATTCTATTCAGAATTAATAAAGCTAAACATAAAAACAACAACAACAAAAAAAGCCTTTTTAAATATCACGTTTGTAATACGTAAAGCACCTCTGACAGTTAAAACATCTCCCCTGGTGGTTAGAGTGGTATTGAAATTTTCTAGAGTTAAATCACTGAATTATCCATTTAAACAAACTGATTGTTACTGGGTTTCACTGCCAGAGTTCATTTACTGATGACCAGCCATTTTCAAGATCATTTGCCATGTATACAGTTAAAAATCGGATCACCTACCAACCATAATAGTTGGCAATATTTTACAAAATATTAATTTCTCTCTCCTTTACCTTGGGCATCATGTCCTCCATGAACTTCTGTCCTCCAAATCCAGGCTCCACTGTCATGACCAGAGCCATGTCGACCTGATTGGCCCAAGGTGCCAGTTCTTCCACTGTAGTACCAGGCTTTATGGCCAATCCCACCTATGACAACATCAAGCAAAACAATATAGATTTTTTTTTTTATTGTGAGAGGTGAAAAAGCCTTTATGATGCATAATTTAATTAATAAGTGATGTCTGCTAAAACGGTATATAACAGAACTTGAACTGAGACCAGAGAGAGACTAAATATATATTTTTTCCTTTTCTTTTCTCTTCATATTTCTTCCACAAAAATATTAAACCACTTTAGGGTCAAAACACTGCTAACAAAACTGACGACAATTGCACAGTTGGGTAATAAAGTGTACATTTCTACTGCAAGATTTTCCAAAATATAAAGATTTGAAAAAATAATAATTCATTATGAATGAATAATCTTGTGACTGCTACAACAGACACAAGCCTCGGGTCTCATCAGCTAGCATTAGCCAACACTATGGTAGATGAATTAGTTTAGACAGATTTCAGATTTTGCCATTCAGATGGAGGGATCCAGTTTGGATTTTAAAACAATTTAACTTAAAATTATCACGTAAGATCTTTTAATAATTGGGGCCTGCCATAGCAATGCATAGGAGAGCATTTAAATGCATTGTGAGGCAGTCTAATAACAGAGGGTATTGGACTGCCATAAAAGCGGGGAGGGAGAGAAGGTAAATTGAACGTGGGGGGTGACGCAACTTAACAGTTGAGGGTTGGGGGGGGCGGCACAATAAGGGATATTTACGGGAAAATACTAATACGGGAGCACGGCAGTTTCCTGGAAAGAACGGGAGACTTTACAGGTACGCTTCCCCCTCTGTGTCTCACTCACACATGACAGTTTTCAGAAAGGATTAACTACCATAGCAATAGAACACTGAAGAGGGCAGAGATGTAGAGAACAGAGATGGCAAAACACTCAGTTCCTACAGAGGAGGGTAGAGCTTCCAGTTAGAACTACAGAGACGCCACCTTGGCGGACACTTAGTATGGACAAGTATATGTTTGTATTTATTATGTCTATGGGTATAACACAGTTCTTCAGACTTTTTTCAATGTACCCAACTGTATTTTTTCCATGCTCATTTGCATGTTATAAGTCAAATTACTCCTTCAAAAAAAAAAAAAAAAGAAAAAGAAAAACAAAACATTTGACCTGCATGTGACAAGACTATAAATTTCTGGACAATTTGGCCATGATAAAACACACAGATGAGGTTGCTGAAGAGGAATAGTGTCAACAGTGTTATATTATGTCTATGGTTATACCTACTGTGATGTCATCTATGCCAGTTTAAAGTTCTGTTTTTGAATTGAATCACTGATTTTAATGAAACTAGTTTAAAGCCAATGTGAGCAGTTAAGGACAATAAAATGTTACAAAACACAACTGAGGATATGATTCATGCAACAAAGCTGTAGTGTCTGTTTTTTAGTATAATATTCACTTTCATGCCGCTCTCCCTTATCTCCTTGATGAGGTTTCCAGGGTTGGTGGTGGCCTCCAAATGGAAGGTGTACTGGCTGGCTCCAGCTGCAGCCATGGGCTTCACCCATTGCTCCGGCCGGGACACCATCATGTGCATGTCTGCAAACGTCAATAGAGTAATGAGCAAAGAGGCCATAGCAGACTTAAATCAGCTCATAACTTAGAGCATGTGTTGTCGCATATTTTGGAATGAATCCTTTCTCACCGAAAAAAGGATCCTGGCCTACAGTCTTCCTCAGACACTCCACCATGGGGTGGCCGAATGTGATGTTGGGGACAAAGTGCCTTTAAAGGTAAGCAATAACAGCTTGTTGAGCAATCTCCCAATGGTG